CCTGAGAAGCCAGGACCCGGCGCGAGGTGACGTGGTAAAACTGCCAGCCAGGCGCGTCCGGTACAAAGCCAAGGAAGACGCAGGGAATAGCGCGACGGGAGAGCTTGTCCGCGGACGTGTCGCGGACAAAAGCTCGGGATCCCCAGACCCGAAAACGCGACGCATCGCCAACCTCTCCCGTCCACCGCAGAGTCGGGGAAGTCTCCGGCAAGGAGACACGGGGCCAGAGGTTGAGCTGATGCGCAGCGTACCGGACCGCAAACGGCCACAGAAATTGGGGAGCAGCCGCGTGGGTCAGGGAGGTACGAGCGACCTCCATGACCAAGCCAACGCGGCGCTCAGCGACCCCATTCTGCTGTGGAGAGGCCGGAAGCGTGAACGACTGCTCAATGCCGTGCTCAGCACAGTAGGCTGCCAAGAGGTCGGAGGAGAACTCACCGCCTCTGTCAGAGTGCAAGCGCAGGACAGGAAAGTCCGAGCGAAAACGCTTGCCTAGCTGGAGACGAGCTCTGCTGATCCAGGGGATCAAAACACCAGGGACCTCACCCTTGGTGCGCAAGGGGAAGACCGTGGTGTAGCGCGAGTAGTCGTCAACAACTATCAGGAAGTACCTCTCCTGACCCTGACCACGGACGCGGGCTGGGCCCCACACGTCCATGTGGAGCGTCTGCAAGGGAGCAGTCGTCGGGGGGAAGGAGGAGGAGTGAGGAGCGGCGCGCTGCCGCCCCTTGACACAGGGAAGGCAGTCAGGAGCAGGCGAGGGTGGGAGGGGAGGGAGAACCCTGGGAAGACCAGAGACAAGCTGCCGTTTGTGCATGGCGCGAAGGCGCTGCATAGAAACAGCGAGAAGCACCTGAGTCCAGTGTGAAGGTGTGCAGTGCTGCAGTCGACTCAGTACCAGGGGGCACAGACTCACGAGCACCTAGAGCAGCAGCCTCACCAGTACCTGGGGCAGCAAGCTCACGAGCACCTAGAGCGGCAGTGGGACTGGTCAGAATGCCCGGGTCGGGCGGAACACGCAAGTACTGAGCACCCTCTCCACTAGTAAACATCGCATACATGGCAGTGAGAATAGCATCATAGTCTAAAGCCCAGATATCAACCCCCTGCCTCTCCAGCTCACCCCATCGGGGCAGCTCAGCGCCACCAGGGAACTGAGCGCGCCAAGCGTCGGTAAGGCGCGCGTAACAGCGCTGCGTGGGGTGTGGCCTCCCACACTGCTGGCCAGTGCGGTCACCAGTGCGGATGACGTACGTGCAGGTAACACCACCCGCCCCCCCCTGCTGCGAATACCACTCACGGGCGGCCTGGAGGGACGGGGCGGGCTGCTGACTCTGGCCACCGCCAGCGCCTCCACGACCACCACCGCCGCCGCCACCTCCGCGACCACCGCCTCCCCTGCCGCTGCCACGACCACCTCCGCCCCCGCTGCCGCCCCCGCCCCTGCCACCGCCCCCGCCGCTGCCGTCACCACCCCCATTGCCACCACTAGCCTCCCCCGTCGCTCCTCCACTCCCACCGCCTCCACCCCCACCTCCTCCGCCGCCACCTCCACCCTTGCCCCCTTTGCTCTTGCGGCGCCCGCTCGAAGCAGACGCGGTCCCGACCTTCTCAGCACCAAGGAGGTCGACAGCAGCAGCAGAGGCGACAGAGGGGAGGAGGGGGGAAGGGGAACACCCCTCAAAGAAGGGGGTGCGGGGGTCGCCACGAGAGGCACCTACGGCGACGATGCTCGCCTCAGCTGCAAGTAGGTCCTTCTCAAGGAGGGCAATGGTGAGCTCAGTAGGGGAGCGAGCTAGAAAGGAGTCCCTGACTGCGCGTAGAGAGTCAGGGAGGCGGGTGACAATGTGGTAGAGAGTGAGCCAGAGCGGGGGGGGGTTGCTAGCAAGGAACTCGGCAGGCATAGCAGCGCGAAAGCGGGCCTCACTAGTCTTGAGGTGGGTGATGAGGTCAGCAACAGTGTGAAAGGAGGCCAGGTCAGGGAACAGGTAGGGCAGTGAGAGGCGGCCTAGTGCGGCAGACGCAGGTGAGGAGTAGCGAGCAACTACGGCTGTGTACAGTTCCTTAGCAGTCTTGCACTGGCCGAAGTGCTCGCGCTCATCTAGCGGTAGGGAGTTGCGAATAGCGAAGCGAGCGTGCGCGTCACGGGTCTGCCACTGGGAGCGCAGAGTGCTGTCAGTAGAAGTGTCAGGGGCAGTAGCGTGGCCTAGGGCGTGATCGTACAGTGAAATGTCCTCCTTGGCAGTGAGCTGTAGGAAGAGGTGCAGGTCATCTAGCCAGGTGTCAAACTTCACTGGGCGGCCCTCAGCATCGAAGGCTAGCACAGGAGGGCTAGCCATAGTAGCAGTAGGAGGAACAGTAGCAGTGTCAGTAGCAGTGGCAGTAGCAGCAGTAGTGCGGTAGGGCAGGGCAGCGCGGCTTTAGTACGGCAGGGCCGAGGTAGTCGTGACGGCGGTGGCAGCTGCTGCAAGCTCGGGAACGGCCGCTGCTGCAGGGACGGCGGCGGCTGCTGTTGTAGTCTCGAGCGGCGGCTTCTGCTGTAGGCTCGGCGGCAGCAGCTGCTGCAGGTACGGCGGCGGCTGCTGCTGCTGGCTCGGCGACGGCAGCTGCTGTAGGGACGGCGGCGGCCGCTGCTGTAGGTTCGGTGGCGACTCCTGCTGCCGGTTCGGCGGCGGGAGCTGCTGCAGGGTCGGCGGCAGCTGCTGCTGCAGGGTCGGTGGCGGCCGCTGCTGTAGGTCTGGTGGCGGCTGCCACTGCAGGTCCGACGGTGGCTGCTGCTGTTGGCTCGGCGGCGGCTGCTACTGCAGGTCCGGCTGCGGCTGCTGCTGTAGGCTCTGCAGCTGCAGCTGCTGAAGGTTGGCGGCGGCTGCTGCTGCAGGCTCGGCGGCGGCAGCTGCTGCAGACACGTGCGAAGGGGACCACGACGGGTCCTGGAGGAGCCGCGAAGGGCGGCGAGAGGCGGCGACAGAGCCGCGAAGGGTAGGGCGGCGACGAGGCCGCGAAATGGGCGGCGACGAGGCCGCGAAATGGGCGGCGACGAGGCCGCGAAATGGGCGGCGACGAGGCCGCGAAATGGGCGGCGACGAGGCCGCGAAAGGGCGGCTACGAGGCCGCGACAGGGCGGCGACAGAGCCGCAATGGGGGGGGGCGACGCGGCCGCGAAAGGGGGGGGCCGTTTTGGGTCCTTAAGCGGGGGTCGCGAGGGGCCAACGGGGGGCCGCGAGGAAACAGTAAGAAGAGGCCGCGACGGGCCGTGAAGGAAAAGGCGCACGGGGCGCGACTAGGGTGGGCGCGAAGCGCGCTCCGGGCAGAAAAAAAAAATTTCGTGAACCGTGGTGGGCCCTAGGAACCTTCCTGCTCTGATACCATGTCAGGATTGAGAGGAATAGATGATCGATTAGGTTAGGGGAGGGGGTACAAGAGAGTGTCGAGAGAATAGAAGTACCCTCTAAGAAACACCCCTACACAACCTAGAACTAAATTATAACAAACATATAATTTGACACGGCGCGCGGCTCGACATCCTACAGGATGGAGGCCCAAGTGTAGCTGACATCCGTCGCCGCCTCTACACTCAGCTTCCACTTGACCACGCCGCACGCTGGATCCATGTCCTCCCAGTCCCTCCTCCTCTCATCCCTGACTTCTCCCACGATTTTCTACGCGAGCAACCCAGTCTCCAACGCGATGTCCTGTACCGGTTCTACACTCGCGCCCTTCCTTCGGGTTCGCGTTTCAACTTTGCCGCAGATCGAGGGATTTGTTCACTCTGCACTGCCGCACCAACAGAGACTTTCTCCCACATCTTCTACGAGTGCGGGGTGGCCCCTGTAGTGATTTTTTCTCTTTCCTCCGTCGCCCGTCGTCACCTCCGCTGCTCTCCCCCTCCTTTCCACTCGCCTCTAGAGCTGGCCAGGTGGCCCCCTGGAGCCTCTTGGTTGGAGCGTCTGCAAAAGCCATTTGGGACGCGCGCTGTGAACACAAGTTCCAAGACTCACCCTCCTCTCGGTTTGAGATTCTCCAACTCATCCTAGCACAGTTCCTCATTGCGTGCAAGATCATTCTCTGGCGAAGGAAGAAACAATCTGTGAAAAAACAACGACGCTCAGCCGCTCGTATCAAGCTGGCCACTCAATTTCGATTCCTCGCTTTTGACCATGACGGCACCCCTTCTATTCACCCTGACCTCCGCGCATCCTGGCTGCTCGATGACCCTTTTCGCCCCCCTTAGGCCTTCCTTTTTTTAGCATAGAGAGCTCCCCAGCCGTGCTCGCGGTTATCCGTAGGATATGGAGATAACGTGTTTCCTACGTACGCCTTTGGGCGTTTTGGTTTATGTAGACCATATCTCTAGCTTCTCTGTGCTTTGCTGTGCATGGTTACGACCTTAATACTATATCCTTAACCTTAACCTACGCCCCCCGCCACTTCCATACCAACCACAATTCCCTCGCCTCTCCAAGCCCCACTCCCGCCAATCCGTTCCCTTCTCCCAGCCCCATCACCCGCGTTCCCCTCGCCTCTTCCGACCTCACACACCCTGTTTCCTTCGGCTTGCCAAGCCTCATTCCCCCCATTCCCTTCACCTCTCCCAGCCCCCCTCGCCCCAGTTCCCTCGCAACTCCCAAATCCATTCCGCCCATTTCCTTCTCTCCCCAGCCTCTCTCCCCCCCCATCCTGCAATCACCCGTCCCACTCCCCCGATTTCGCTCAAACCTTCCAGTTCCGCTCCGACATTAGTAATGCCGATTTTGTAGAAAGTAGAGTCTCACAGCAAGCAGAGCAGATTGAAGGTTTGAGTAAACCACATAACAAGAAAAAGGAAAACATAATACCCTTACACAATCAGGGTGTTTTTTCAGCGCACTTATCTTCCCCTGATTTTTACAGGGTGGAAAAAAAATCATCCTGACAGACAGGGTGACGTCATCAAGGCACCCTGATTCCTAAGAGTGCCCAAAAACCAATTTTGGGCCCTGTTTACGGTATACGAGCACTAACTACAATTGCAAGGGGGAAAATGTGGCATTGTAAACAGAGACCGGGTAGACGAGGCCACGTGGACCCGGTTGGATAGCACCATCAGGTGCACCCAATGGAGGGAGTACCTGCGATTGGCAATCAGAGCAATCAGTTAGAATCAAAATGGCAGCAGGAGAAACGTACTTGAAGGAGTGAAAAAGCAGAGGACAGGGGAGATCAGTTGAGAATTACAGTAATAAGGAGGATGCGTGAGTGAGGGAGAGTAGGAGCAAGGGAGGGCAGACCTTGAAGATAGTTATGGCTTGAAGAGAGTCGCGTTGTGTGGGCAGGAGGCGCGGCATGAGCATGTAGGAGCGCAGTCGCAAACCCTGCATGGTGATGCTCATTGCAGCAATGGCACGCTGCCCACACGTGTTGCTCAGCGTGACCTGCAGAAGGAAGGTCGAGGCCGGAGGAGGGGGAGAGGGAGGGAGGAGGGAGAAGGGGGCGCGGGAGAAGGTGTAGAGGGTTGGATTGGAGAGGAATGTTGGTGAAAAGCAGGGGATGAGAAAGCACACGTGAGGTGACCAAGCTGTGTGTGTGTGTGTGTGTGTGTGAGAGAGAGAGAGAGAGAGAGAGAGAGAGAGAGAGAGAGAGAGAGAGAGAGAGAGGAATAGCCTCTCCCCTCAGCCCTTAGCCTCTGCCCTTAGCCTCTAGGCCCTACTTAAGGCCTCCCTAAGGCCGTTTTCTCATTGTTAGTTTGGCGGCTGAGAATTTTTCGCTCGCGCCGGCCGCCTTCGGCGGCAAGTAATCACAACAAGGCAGTTTATAGCAACAACCATTACACACATGGCAGCACCTACCGCGGCCTAGCCGCGTGATTCACCTATGGAGCAACCGGAGCCCGCGCCTACATGCGGTGAGCTCCAAGGGCGTGAAGAACGCCCGTCAGGGAGCGCCACAGCTCCCGGACCACAAGCGTGCTTGCGCCGATCGCCGCGGCTCCAGATCCTGCGCGCAAATGCCGCTTCAAGCTCCGGACAGCCTCGTCCAGCTGTCCCGCAGCAGCAGCGCCACCCTCCGCGGGCGCAGCCAACACGGGCGCCAGCAGCACGGCGAGCTGGTCCGCCGCATCCAAGCAGGTCTCGCGCGGACGGTCGCGGAACGTCTCAGGGGGGATTACAGGGAGGGTCGAGTGAGCGAGAACCTGTATCAGCAGCAACGCGTGGAGGCTCTCCGCGAGCCGGTGGAGCTGACCGAGCGTCGCCTGAGGAACACGCGTCTGCGGAGGTTGAAGCGCCTCCGCCAGGAACAGAAGCGGCGCATCAGCATCAACGAGGTGTGATTGCTGCGCCGCAGAGCCACCCCCCGCAGCAACGAATTCCACACCAGCAACGGGTGGAACCGGTGGCAGATGCAGGCGAGCGCCGGGAGCAGGCGCCGCAACAGATGGAGCAGGAGCCGATGGGGCCAGTACGGGAGGAGGAAATGCAGCAGCGGGCGGAGGATCAACGGGAGGCACAATCTGACGAGGAGCCACGGGCGCCGGCGCAGTCCGTAGCGAACTGCTCTGGCTCTGCGCCGCCCGCTCCTCGCGCACGGCCCGTGACACCTCTCGCTGAAGATCCGCCATCGTCAACGGCGGACGATACCTCCCGCCGCGCCCTTGGGGACCCCGCCAGCCCCCATTGCCACCCGGGTGAGCGGGCCACTGGGCCTGCTGCTGGTAACTCCGGGGGGAGTTGCGCCGGCGTCGCGACGTCTCACGCTCCTGTTGGGGCGCTGGGGAATGGGGCCGGGAGAGACGGCGTTCAGGCGACAGCGGACGAGACGGTTGACCAACAGGGACTGCCGGCGGCAGAACGGGAGCCGTCGGGTTCGCGGCGGGAGGCGCAACCATCGGAGCCGTCCCGACGGTGGTGGCGGACGCCGCCTTCGGGGAAGAAGCAGACGCCGGCGCAGGCACGTCGGGGACGGAAGCAGCCGGCACAGCGAGTACGCCAGGGGCAGGATCAGGGAGGTCGGCAGCACCTCCAGCAGGTGCAGTCGCCGTCGGCGCGACAGCAGGAGCAAGGGGGACGGGAGCAGCAAGGGGAACAGGCGGAGCTTCAACCAGAGCAGACGGGCCATCCTCGCCCCCAACGAGAGGAGCTACGGGTGCGGGGGGAAGAGTCCTTTCAGCGATTGATATCGCGGGCTTCGGAGCCGGCGGTACAGGGGGCTTCGACGCCGTGCTCGCCTTTTCGGGCTGGGGCGGAGGCTTGGCGACGACTGCCGACCAGGCGGCAGCGCGCTCTGGCGACGGCTCAGGCGCTCCAGCAATCACCATCGGAAGAACGGGGAAGCCGCGGAGGTAGGAGGCTGGCCACTAGCGGGACAGGCGGGGGACCGGAGAACGGGTACCAGGCGGCAGCGCGAAGGGCTTTAACGTGCTTGGAGGTTACTAATGAGGATGAGGATCCCACGGACCCACTTTATAGGGAGGAATCCCTCCCACCGAGCGAAGCTGAGGAGTCGGAGGGGGAAGGCAGGGCGAGAGAATCTGGAAGGAGAAGAGGTGGCGATGTGGGCCAAGCAACAGCGCAGGTCACACAGGCGGAACAGGGACCGTCAGATGCAGATCGAGCGGGTGACATTCCAACCCCAGTTCAGCCAACATCGGCGAACCGCGCTCGACGAAATCGGACCGCTGCTGCCATCACAGCGACGCGACAGACCATCCATAACCCACGCTATTTCTCGACAGACGAGCTGGCGAGGCGTGAGGACTTGTTCGCGGCGATCGCGAGCTGGGACATTGCTATACTCTGCGACAGTCGACAGCCTTCGCTGTCACGGCGTTTACCGCCAAATCTGTGCCAACTGTTTTCGCAGGCGCTCCTGACACCGTTACTACACCTCTCACGAAACCCCGAGTCCGAGCCGGGGTGGCGCCTGCTGCTGTTTTCTCTCCCGCGCCTCACACTTTGCCAAACCTCGCCACAGCGACCAGATTGGCCGGGGGTCAAGGCTCGGCTTCGAGCTTTCCAGCGTGGCGAATGGGAGCGGCTGTACCTAGACGCGGTCGACGCCAATAGTCAACACACCTCCACCGCCACGCCACCGGCCTGACGCGACCGGAACCATTAGCCGAGCCGAGGGGCTCGCGAAACGCGGCAGTCTGCGTCGAGCCGTGCTGGCACTGGAGTCAACGCCAGTCTGCACCCCCAGCCCGGAAATTTTGGAGGAGCTCCGTCAGAAGCACCCACTTGCGGTACACGAGGTGGTGACCTGGCCCTCGCCACCAGAGTCAAAATTGTCCATCTCTCATGCTGAGTTCGCCAAGATCCTGGGGCGATGCGAGAACGGAGTGGGAGCCGGACCGTCGGGCACAACATTCGAGCACATGCGCGACGCGGCCACCACTAACGCAATGATCAGCACCCACCTGCACGCCTTGGTCAACACCCTGCTGGGGGGAAATTTGCCAGGCCCCGTGGCAAGCCTCCTGACCGCGTCAAGGTTGATTGCCCTGGCCAAACCAGGGGGGGGGGCTCGACCAATCGCAATAGGCGAATGTCTGACGAGGTTGACGGCCAAGGCAGCCCTGACAGCCATGGGGGACGCTGCCCGAGAATATTTCCTGCCACTACAGTACGGCGTGGCAGTGCCAGGTGGAGCAGAGACGGTTATCCACACGGCCAGGGCATTCCTAGACGCCCGCCCAGACAGCCTGGTCCTGCAAGCAGATATCTCGAACGCGTTCAATAGCATCTCGCGCCAAGCAATCGCCACAGCGTTACACGAACCCAGACTGTCGCCACTGCAGCCGTTTGTACAACTGACCTACGGTAACCCGTCGCGCCTGCTCCTGGACGCGAAATTCAACTGCGATACCCTGCTTAGTGAACGGGGCGTGCGGCAGGGTGACCCACTTGGCCCGTTACTGTTTGCAGCAGGCATCCACCCCACGCTCTGAGACACTGCAGAGGCACACCCCGACGTGCTCTGCTTGGCGTATGCGGACGATGTCACCTTCCTGGGTGACACCGAACGCACTGTAGCCGCCTTCAAACACTTCACATCGAAACTGGCGCAGCTGGGCCTGGCATACAATCCACAGAAATGCGGGGCTTGGCGTTCTACAGCGGTTGCGCAGAATCAGTTGCCGCCCGGGGTGCCGTTCGCTAAGGACGGAGTGCGTCTTCTAGGTAGTTACGTCGGGACGAAGGCTGGTGGCACGGGGTTTCTATCGGGCCAGCTGGGAGAAATGGTGAAGCCGCTGCCGCTGTTAGAACGAGCAGACCCCCAGGTGGCCGCGCTGCTGCTCACGCGATGTATCTCTAGGCGTGTCGCGTACCTGATTAGGACGACTCCCCTCCACCTGCTCCCCCGCGCCACGTGGAGCCAGTGGGGCAGGGACCTACTCATCACCTTACTCACCTCGTGTGACATCCGCGCGCCAACATGCAGTGCCGAGCAAAAACGGGTCTGGGAGCAGGCGTCATTGCCGACGTCCCTGGGCGGCATAGGCATTACGGACCCGCTCATCGAAGGCATATACGGTTTCACCGCGAGTTTTACCCAGGCGGCGCTTTTCCTCTCCTCTCTGGCGCTAGAACCAGAAAGTGCCTTGACGATGGCCAGGAACCACATGCTGGCCCCTAGGGAAGACAGCACCCCCCTACACTCGTGGCTCACTGAGTGCGAAGCAGCCCTGCCTCTAGACGCGCGAGAAATCCTTGAGAAGGAACGGCTGGAGCGTTCTGATGTTAGGCTACAGCACGTGCTCGGCTTGAAAGTCCACGGGAGCAGATACGCTCTACAAGTCCAGGCAACTCGGGAGATGCAGCTGAACCCTCTCTCTGGCCACACGCAGCGTATGTTCTCACTGACAGGGTACGCCACTGGGGACTGGCTGACTGCGATCCCAATCGAGGCCACCAGACGGATAGGCCCCGTGCATTTCACAAACGCCGTACGGTTTCGGCTGGGACTCCCTTTTTCAACGCCCAAGAACTGTGACTGCGCAGATCAGGTCGCCATCACAGATCCCCGCCTCCCGAACCATCTCTCCGCTGCGGCACCGGCAAGCATCGCATTAACACACACAACGAGCTGCGCGACGCGTGCATTAGCATGGCGCAGCACGCCGGTTTCATAGTTCACAGCGAGTCGGCCGTTCACTGCCCCATCGAGGAACAAACTGCGGACTTCACCATGACCGACAGAAGCAGCGGGGCGGTTTATGTGTGTGACGTGACGATCACGGACCCTATTAGCACGAGGGACCCCAAGGCAGAGAAGGGCAGGGGTTGGGCGGCTCGGGAACAGGCGGATAAGAAAATAAAGCACTATGCCAACCGGCCAGAGACGGTGGGATTCTTCCCACTTGCGGTGGACACCTATGGCTGCCCGTGCGCGGAAG